TTTGTTCAATACATAACTTCCTTCATAAACACTTGTGTTCCTCCTTTGAAGTCTTAAGTGGTCTACTTGGTGCCGTTCTAAGACCTCAACGCTAGAGTGTGAGGCTGACTTAGTGTAAAAATCGCAGGGCCAGAAGTTAGAGACTAAGTGCCACACGGTGCTTGGAGAAAACAACAAGTCCGTGACAACGCGCTTAAAATATTGGTGGGAATCCTTTTAAATTGCAGTGTATCCCATAAATAGATTACCATCTCCAGTTCTTAAAGGAAAGTCCTCCACTAGGAAAGGCCTCAAACAAGTTGCCCGACTACTCGTAGCTCAGAATACTTGGATGTGTTTGTTTTCCTTGCCTTCAACCTATCAAAGTCACAAATTTCAGTTTCACTCTACAAAATGTGTGTTTCTTGGTTAAAGTGGCTCACAAAGGATATAGATGTTTAAATTCCACCGATAGAGACTCTCTATCCAGATACATAGTTTTCAATGAAAAAGACTTCCCATTCAAAATTGGATTCCTAAATACCAAACAAACTGCATGATTCATCAAGAGAAACAATAATCACTTCGGTTAATCCTTCATCGGCTAACATTTGTGTCACATTGGGATAAAAGTCCTAGTCATAATTTAATTTTGATCTAGATCTGTAGAACTCACCAGTGCCATCGTCGAAAACTCCATCTTTCAGCTCAGTTGGTACAAGTCAAAGCAAGGCCTCCATTGCAGCTACTCTAACCCAGGCTACCTATCACTTTCTGTCTATGGAAACACTTCCAATAATACTGAAATCCACCCTGAACCAATACTCCTTGACCTAGAGAAACACTAAACAAATGCTATAGGAACACTTGAAGGACTGGAAACCAACCAACCTACCAAAACTCTATAGCAAAAACAAAAACCAATCCATGTCTCTTGCCATCACATGGATACAAGATCAAAACATGGGATCTTCAAACCCAAAACCTACTTTTTGAAGCCAAAAAATATGCGCGATCACTAAAAAATGAAAGTTTAGATCCAACAACAGTTAGTGAAGCCTTGAAATCAGCTGAATGGAAGAAAGACATAAATGACGAATACCAAGCCCTTGTGAAAAACAAGACATGGAATTTTATTCCATACTCAACCAGTCTAAACATTTTTGGCAACAAATACATTTTCAAAACCAAGTTTAATCCGAATGGCATAAATCAAGGTTAGAGGTAAAGGGGTTTCATCTAGTAGACATTTATAAGACATTCAGGTCAAAGGCACCCCCCTATACCAGTTATTCTTAATCTAGGTTTCTCAAGAGGTTGGGGTAAAAGACAATTGTATATAAACAGTGCATTTTTGAAAGGTTTTTCACAAGAAAATGTGTTTATGAGGCAACCTGAAGGTTTCATTGATAAATATAGACCACAAAATGTTTGCAAGCTGAACAAAGCCTTGTATGGCTTAAAACAAGCTCCGAGAGCTTGGTATGATATGTTAAAGAGATCTTTTGTTAATTGGGACTTCAAAAATGCGAGAGTTGATCCATAATTGTTTTTCCTTCATCATGGTACTCTTCTTGTATTTGAATTAATCTATGTTGATGACATACTAATTTCCAGAAACGATGACAAACTAATCTACAAGTTCATCACATATCTGAAAAAGTACTTTGATCTCAGACTTAAGGTGAAGTTCATTATTTCCTTGGTATTGAGGTAATTCTTGATGAATTTGAAGAGTGCATGGATCTTTTGCCATTTCAAGTGCAATTGGAGGTGGCCATCTTAAACAATGGGTAACAGCTGAGCCGACAATTGAAGTATTCAGGATTACAAAAGAGAGCAAGTTTTTGATCCTCGCCTCAGACGGACTTTGGGATAAGGTAATAGATGAAACTATGTTGAGCTCATTGTAGTCTTAGCCACATTGTTGAAACAATGATTCGATTAAAAGATAGGATGCTAAAAATTCTTTTCACTTTCTTTGCAGGTTAGCAATAAGAAAGCAACAGATGTAGTTCATCCTTTATGTGTGCGCGTTGACAAGCCAGAATTATATTCTATTTGCAAAAAGATCGTGGATTTATCACACTTGAGAGGATCTTCTGATGATATTAGTTATGGTGATCCTTCTAAGTCGATTCATTCAGTTACTCATATGCTAAGAATAACTTAATATAGAAGTATATAGCACTTGCAAGTGTATATATTGGAAAGTTATAAAGCCTTAGAGGAAAAATCAGGACACAGAGTGACATTAGATAAAAACCAGAAGGAAAACAATGGTGAAGACGAAATTGAAGGCTTTATTAATTGATTTTTGATACAATTACAGAAAGACCCTATGCATCTGTATATACAAGAAGATGAATTACATACACTACATACAAAAAATTCTTTAACCGTGAGTAAACACACCATGAATGAAATCCCTGGAATCAAGGATATCTAGAGTACTGAAGGTGAATCCATTGGAGGTAGTGTATTGCTATATTCTCCTTCCTTCAAGCTCTAGTAAGAGAGAGTCGCATTTTCCTTATTTCACGTTTTTCTTCTTCTCTTGGTTAATTGCTTCTTTAGTCCTTGTCTTCTTATTGTGTGCCTTTTGATCCACTGAATTATCTTTTCTAACAGCCCCCTTCAAGCTGGAGATTATCTCTATAACTCCAAGCTTGCTTCGTAGGTATAGGTGTCTAGAATTCAGTAACGGTTTGGTTAGAATGTCGGCGACTTGATTTGTTGTTGGAACATAGCTGATTATGAGTTGTTTGGCCAATACTCAATCACGAACAAAATGCATATCAAGCTCAATATGCTTGGTTCGTGCATGCTAAACCGGATTTGCTGCAAGAGCACTAGCTCCTAAGTTATCACACCAGATNATCAAGCTCAATATGCTTGGTTCGTGCATGATAGATTGGGTTAGAAGCTAGAGCACTTGTTCCTAGATTATCGCACCAGATTCTAGGAACCTCTGTCTGAGTAATGCTAAGTTCATGTAATAGAGACTGAATCCACATAATTTCTGCAGTGGTGTGAGCTAAGGTCCTATACTCCGCCTCAGTACTGGACCTTGCCACAACTTGTTGCTTTTTAGAGCACCAAGAAATTAAGTTCCTACCAAGATATACACAATACCCCACAGTCGATTTTCTGTCATCCGGGCATGAAGCCCAATCTGCGTTACCATAGGCAATTATGTTGAGATCATGTGTTTCTTAGATCGTCAGTCCTATCTCAAGCGTTCCTTTGATGTACCTGAACAGTCTTTTTAATAAATTCCAATGTGTATCGATAAGACATTGAAGATATTGGCTTATTCTATTTACTGCAAACGTAATATTAGGCCTAGTATACGTTAGATATTGTAGAGCTCCCACAGCACTTCTGAACTCAGTAGGGTTCTCTAAAATCTGTCCTTCAGTTTTGGCAACGAGCTTCCCAGCTACCATGGTGTGACACTCAGTTTCAGTTTCAAGTTTTCAAAGCCAAATTTTTTTAAAGTATCAGTAGCATATCTTCTTTGTGACATATGTAGGCCAATTTCATCTCTGTAGAACTCAATGCCCAGAAACTTCCTCAGACTTTCCATATCTTTTAATGCAAAGGTTGTATTCAACCTTTCAATTAACTTTTGTACCCTTGTAGCACAGCTTCCAATTATTATGATATCATCGACGTAAACTAGTAGATATATCACAGACTCTTGAGTTACCTGATATAATACTCAGTTGTCAGCCTTTGATTACATAAGTTCCCAATTCAGCAATGTCTCTTTCAACGTATCATGCCAGGCTCTGGGAGCTTGTTTAAGCCCATAGAGGGCCTTGCTGAGTCTGCATACAAACGATGGTTTATTTTGATCAACAAAGCCTTGAGGTTGTTCCATGAAAACCGTTTCCTCCAATTTGCCATTGAGAAAGGCATTATTGATATCTACTTGCTATATTTTCCAGCCTTTCGAAACAGCAAGTATAAGAATAATCTTCAGGGTTAGTGCTTTAGCTACTGGACTGAATGTTTCATAATAGTCGATACCTGATGTCTACAAGAAGCCTTTTGCCATCAACCTGGCTTTATATCTCTGAATTTCTCCATTTGTATCATGCTTCAATTTATATACCCATTTGCAGCCTATTACCTTCATTTCAGATCTGCAGGAACTAACACACAGCTGTTATTTTTTATCAGTGCTTTATATTCTTCCTTCATAGCTTGGCTCCATTTTTCACTTTTCAAGGCTTTATGAACACTCACTGGTTCTGTCTCATCAATTGAGCTTGTAGCAACATCAGCAAAAACTTTTGGTTTAAAGACTCCTGCCTTAGACCTGGTTATCATAGGATGTTCAGTTGTCTGTTCTGTTTTTGGTATAGGAGACTCATCTCTCAACTCTCTTCCATGTGCTGAATACTCAGGCTAAGTATCAAACTGTTCAGTTTCTTGTATCTGTGGCATATCAGATCCATCATCATTTTCCATCACTCTTTCATCCTCATCTTCAGCAAGAGGCTCTTGTGCAGGTTCTTCTATGAGAGGTATTATATCAGCTGATTCTGTGATTCTTCTGTAAGAGCTCAGATCAGATGAATTAGTGGGTAGTTTGTAGGAGCTGATTTCATAAGGTAGATAATGAGAAGTGATAGGAGGATATTTGTGTGAGGATTTTTTGTTGAGAAAACTTGTTTGGAATGGGAATGAGTTTTCATCAAAGATGACATGCCTGGAGATATAAATTCTACCACTAGGACTTAAGCATTTGAAGCCTTTGTGAGATAAACTAGGACCTAGATAGACACATTTCTGGGAATGAAAGTCAAACTTATGCTTTTGATATGGTCTTAGGCAAGGGTAACAGGAGCATCAGAATACTTTAAGACATTTCTGGGAATGAAAGTCAAACTTATGCTTTTGATATGGTCTTAGGCAAGGGTAACAGGAGCATCAGAATACTTTAAGTGACTTATAGTCAGTGCTGTGCTTAAATAAGAGTTCATACAGTGATTTGTGTTGAAGAATCAGGGTAGGTATCCTATTTATGAGGTATGTTGCAGTTAAAAAGGCTTCCCACCAGTAATAGAGGGGCATAGGTGCTTGGGATAGCAGAGTTAACCCAGTCTCAGTTGTCCGTGTTTCCTCTCGGCCCTTCCATTTTGTGATGAAGTGTGTGGGCAAGAATACCTTAGTTCAATCCCTGATTCGAAAGCTATCTTATCTAAGCTTTTATATTCTCCCCCCATGTCTGATTGAATTGTTTTTATCTTCTTTTCAAACTGATTTTCAGCAAAATTTTTGAACTGTGTAAAACAGTGAATAACTTCAGACTTGTGCTTTAGAGGGTAAATCCAGGTATACCTAGTACAATTATCTACAAAAAGAACATAGTACTTAAATCCTGAGGTAGAGCAAGTTGGGGCCGGTCCCCAAACGTGAGTGTGGACTAAGTCAAGAGGCATTTTCGCANATTGTGTTAAGTAATAAATTACTTCAGACTTATGTTTTAGATGATAAATCCAAGTGTACCTAGTTCAATCATCTACAAAGAGAACATAATACTTAAATCCCGAGGTAGAATTAATAGGGGCTGGTCCCCAAACATCAGTGTGGACAAGATCGAGTGGCATTTTAGCATGAGATATAGAAAATTTGAATGGCAGGGCATGTGATTTGCCAATCTGACATGCTTCACAGAAAGGAATTTTTTTATTACTGATAAAGTTGAGTTTATTATAAGTTTTCAAGAACTGAAGTAGCACAGAAGTAGAAAGATGTCCTAGTCTTCTGTGCCAAATTTCAATCTGTGATTCAGAGACATTGTTATGTATAGAGTTTGCGGATTCAGATGAACTTGTGTAGAGGATGGACTGAGATTTGTTTAGATGATGACTGCTAGTACTTGTTTTCTGGTTTCTTGTGTCATGGTAGGGTAGATCCAGCTGGTATAATCCTCCTCTAAGTTTCCCCTGCACTAGAGCCGTCCTTGTTGATAGATCCTTCACAACACAATGGTTAGGGTAAAATTCAACTGAGACATGATTATCAGATGTAAGTTTGGAAACACTTATGAGATTCTTTTTAATTTTAGGCACATGAAATAGTTTTTTTAAGGCAAGTCTTTTTCCAGTTTCAATATCAAAAACCTTTGAACCAACATGTGAAATTTGTAATGAAGTGCCATTACCTACAATCATTCTTTCCTTACCTCCATATTCTTTTGCTTCAACAATATTGTCCTTGTCAGTAGTTGATGGCTAGCCCCAGAATCAACATACCAGGCTTGATCCTCTACTGAGCTTGGGTTTGTAATGTAAGCAGATGGATGCAAGTTGGAAGTCTAATCACTAGGCCTTTTCCTATAAATTTCTCATCAAATCTATTGTAGCACCACGCAGCAGTATGATTACTCAGGCCACATATCTGATAAAGATTTCTTGCCTCAATTGTTTTTCCAAACCCGTCTCTGCCTCTTGTTCTTCCTCTGAAGTTTGAGCCTCTAATACCTCTGTTTCCTCTTCTACCATATGAATTTGTACTCTGGAAGTTCCTCTAAGTGAGATTGATTGACCCAAAGCTGGTTCTAACTTGGCCGAGGTATTCCAATCTGCTCTCAAATGTCATAAGTATGGAAGATAACTCATGCCAAGAAATCTGGTCCTTGCTGTTAACTTGAACCACGATTGGAGTGTACTCCTCATCAAGCCCAGCCAAGACTTGAATTACCAAGTCAGTATGCTCTATTTTCTTTCCTGCTATTTCAAGGTTATCAGCAAGCTGTTTGACAGTACTGAGATAGTGATCCATAGACATGGATCCTTTCCTCATTCTTTGCAATTCAGGTGTGAGAAAGGTCACTCTAGACCTATTTAGTATTCCATAGTTCTCATTTATGGCTTTCCACAGTTCACTTGAGCTATTGCAGCCCATTACACGCATCACAATATCAGATGTCATTGAGGAATATAGCCATCCCATTAGTAGTTGGTCAATAGACATCCACCTAGAGTATTCAGAATTAAGGGATGACCTAACCGCGATTCCAGTCTCAGTTGTGATCTGAACGTCTACAAACTGAGGAGGACACTCATTGGTGCCCAGTAAATACCCTTCTAAGCTATGGCCCCTTACAATTGGCATTATAATGTTTTTCCAAAGCAGGAAGTTATCTCTGTCAAGTTTAACAGAGGCTGCTTGAGTCAAGTTCATTCCAAATGGAGTAAAATTACTCCCAAGAGCTGGAATTTGACTTGTTGGGCTGAGATTTGTGGTATCCGGGTTTGTGGAGCTTGAGTCCGAAACAGGGGGTAATATATTAGCCATGGATTTGGCTCTGATACCAAGATAAAAACCAGAAGGAAAACAATGGTGAAGACGAAATTGAAGGCTTTATTAATTGATTTTTGATACAATTACAGAAAGACCCAATGCATCTATATATACAAGAAGATGAATTACATACACTACATACAAAAAATTCTTTAACCGTGAGTAAACACACCATGAATGAAATCCCTGGAATCAAGGATGGTTAGAGTGCTGAAGGTGAATCCGTTGGAGGTAGTGTACTGCCATATTCTCCTTCCTTCAAGCTCTAGTAAGAGATAGTCGCATTTCCGTTATTTCACGTTTTTCTTCTTCTCTTTATTAATTGCTTCTTTAGTCCTTGTCTTCTTATTGTGTGCCTTTTGATCCACTGAATTATCTTTTCTAACAACGTTAACTTAAACTATTTACAAGAACAATTCTTGTATTGATTCTGTTGGCCATTACATGTGCCAGCAGCGTAGGAATCTCACCAGCAGTAAGAAAATGGTGACAAAAAGTTTTGGCATTGAGTAAATGTTATCGTATTCTAACCGGACAGATGATGTTCCTAAGGTAATGTTTGTTCATGTGGAAATCAGAAGCTTTTGTATTAAATTAGATTACTGTACAAGAAGTTAAGAACCTTTGGTTTAACTATTGATTTCTGAAGTGCTTCTATAATAACAGATTATAATAAATTGGATCAATTTTTTCTTTTTCTTTTTTTTCTGCAGTTCTTTAATATTTCCACACGAGCGTGTAAGGGGTTCAAGAATCAGCTTTTTTTTTTTTTTTTTTTATCGGTAAATGTCAATTTTTTTATAGATCAAAACTCATATACAAGCACACCGGGGACATACTCAGGCTTACAATCAAAAGATCAAATGATGTAAGCCCAGGCATACAATCAGCTTTCTTTTTATAAAGGCGAGTAATATTATAGAATAACTTAGACAACCTTAAACTTGACAAATAGACTTACCTTATAATCAATAAAGAATAGGACATTGCAACATCATTTGCAATTACTAGGTAATGAATGATCCTTATGTTGATTGCTTATTCTTCTTCACAAGTTGCTCGACGTCTTGAATTAGCATCGTTGTGTTGAGATAGGATGATCCATCTTCTTCGACTGACCTCTTTGCCATTTCTTTTAGTGCTTTTGCTTTTTCCCTTCTTTCACATCCTTGATTTCCCTGGTCCATTACCATGTCAATGGCAGCCTTAACCTCGTCCTTCATCACCTTCATCCCGGACCTTTCTTGCGTGGTGAAGTCTACAACATCTTCAGCTCCAACTCTTACACCAGTGCCCAAAATCTGTACTACTAATTTTTCATTTAGAAATTGCTCGGCAAACAATGGCCATGTGATCATTGGCAGGCCAGCACATATACCTTCTAGAGTTGAATTCCAACCGCAGTGGGTTAAGAATCCTCCTACTGAAGAGTGGGATAAAATCAGTACTTGTGGTGCCCAACCTCGGATCAAAAGGCCTCTTTCCTTTATTCTTTCATCAAATCCATATTCCAAAATCCACTTCTCTATTTCTTCTGTATTTTCTCCTCCATGTATCACTAGAATAAACGAATAGTTTGACGCTTCTAGGCCTAAAGCCAGCTCTATAAATTGTGAAGGCATGAGACGACTGAGACTTCCAAGGCATGCGTAGATTACAGAATCAGGCTCATGTGAGTCGAGCCACCTCAAGCACTGGTCTGTATCAATAGAGGCCTTGTTCCCTCTTTGAGCTTTGTCTAAATTCTCCCTGTTGAAAAGTGAAAGCGGACCAATGCACCAAACCTTTCCCCCTCTGATCTTCCAAAATTCATCGACATATCTTTGTTCCAAATCTTCAAAACTATTGACCACCACCCCATAAGATAGTGTTTCAGTTGCTCGTACCTCTTCAAAAAAATCTTTCACAACCACCGAGCCTGGCTTGAGCAAATCAGGCAGCTGGAGCTTAGTAAACTCAATTCTATCAGGTAAACTAGGCACGACAAAAGGCTCCGACTCAGACGCAGTTTCATGAACCTTGGAAATGAACAAATTATTCATTATCAATTGGGTGAAGCAACTCATTCCATCAAAAATAATCCTCGGAATCTGAAGATTATTCGATAAATCAGCCGTCCAGGACAGATGCTTATCACATATAATGCAACTTGGAGCTGGCTTAAGTCCATTCAGCATCTGTTCCAATGGCTTTTGTAGCATTTTTGCTGCATTAAAGAAGTTGTTTATTAACTTATAGGATGGTAAAGTGTCTATACTCACTGCACTGAACCGGATGGCGTTGAGGGGCGTCGTGACTATTGTCACAATAATACCACGTTCTGCAAACAATTTTGCCATGTCTATCATTGGAATTATGTGGCCAGGGGCCATTAGAGGTATCAAAACAAAGTTTATCATCTCTGGTTGCAAAGCCATAAAATTTAATTCTCAGAGCCTAGAGGTCCTAGATTATATAGAGGATGCTAAATAGAATATATCATTATGCACATATGTATCTGTTTTTCCCTATCCTAATCCAAGTGGTGTAAGAGCATGGAGTGTGTTGTAGGTATGATTTGAACGGAGATAATTGCAACTGGATTTGACACGCACGAAAATGGAAAAGCTAAAAATATGAATAGGGAAAATCAAAAAACCATATCCACTATTTTTTTAATACTGAAATAGAATGCTTCCAAATTAATAGCACACGCGATACAAAAAATCTGGTCTTACACGCTGTTTTTCGACAGCGAAGAAGATACATCAAAAACTATATGACAAAAAAATGATTTGGTCACTAGTGAAATCATTTAATTCGTTCCAACAAAAAAAAAAAAATCAATTGTGACAATCAGTGGTGGGTATTTCTAAGGAGAGATTTTTGAATTTATCCAGAAGAAAGTCATTTTATTTGTTTTAAAGGGAACGGTGACTCGACGTAGCTCTTGAATTGAAAGTGAACCATTTGAACTTTTTTATTCTCTCACGTTCTTATGACTCTCACAAATACTCACTTGTTGTGTTGACTGGTGGTCCTTGTATAAGCAATTTTTGAGATGCATCTTCACATTTTGTAACAGTTAAAATTGACTGTTCTAATCCATTTAAAAAGGCAGAATAGGAAGTTCTTTTATGTCACGTCTTGCGCTCAATCACTGTCAATGTAATAGGCAATTTTGAAATTGTTAAGACTCATGTTCCAATTATGCATCATATAGAGTCGAGAAGATTATTCCTTACTTCCTTCTCATCCAAAGTCGTGCATGAGAGCCAAAGAGTCGAAAAAAATATTCCTTCAGTTGGTTCAAAAGAAAGAATCAGATGCCAAAATTGGGGGAAAAAAGTCAGGAAACAGAAATTTCTCAAGATTGAGAGAGAAGATAGTAAGCAGAACGCAAATTAACCAAAAAGAATAAACCAAACTGTGCAAGCAATACATCAAGATTCGGAATTAAGTCTAAAATTGGTGTCCTCACTCCCAAAATGTAGCAACATCCATCTTAAGGGTACAAATACACGAATCTATGATTGTGTGACCTCTAACATCTATTTACAACATTTAAGCAAACTTAACGGTTCTCACAACTGAAATTCCTCTCTTGAGTAACGGAATTTGACAAATATGAAGTGACATATGGGAAGTAGCGAGAAAATGGCACTAGTCCTGCCCTAGACATTTGAACCAGTTTATGGCAGCATAAAATAAAAATCAGATTGCGATGTCTGTAAGTCAAGACCAAACATGTCCATTATCTATCTTCTTCTGTTTCTTCTTTTTTCTCCTTTCTTCTTTTGGTTCCATCCTTGCTTCAGCACGTTTTGAATACTTTGAGCGAATCTCTAATACTTTACTTTTTGCATCTCGAAATAGTGCATCTGACTTTGCAGCCATCAATTGCTGATACAAGAAAGAAATGGGTTTTAGTTATTTCCAAATGATGCGAAGTCAATATTATGTAGCAGATTCAGAAATGAACTACCTTGAGATGATCCATTGCAGCCAAGTTGAAACCGAGAGTATCTTTGCATTCCTGTGAAAATGCAAACATCAATGCGCAAGGCAAAGCAGTGGAATACAGAATTGGGACGCTAAGAAATGTGCACTGAATTTCACCAACCACTTCAAACTCCCGAGCAAGTAAAGCAGGTAAAATCATTAACCCAGATTCTAAATTTATAGGTGTTGGTAAAAATAAAATTTCAGATATTAGGAGCACTTGTAACATCTGAAGACAAATATGAAAATTTCCTTACTGAACTTTTATCTTTCTTACACATCTATAGCTTTTTTTTTTTATAACCGTGGATCTCCGGGTTAGCTTGCCAGCACCTCGACTAATCCCATGGGTCCCTAAAGTTTATGGCCGGATACTCACCTCAGTGGTCCTGAGAGGATTCGAACTTGTGACCATTGGGGAGCAAACTCAAAGCCTGACCAATTGAGCAACCCCTCAAGGTTACACTATAGCTTTTAATATTAGCTTAAGAACACAGGAGCTGATAAATTTGCTTCAGTTATTGGTTATTATTATCTAAAAATCAAATTGACTTCATTAAGTGAGACTTTTCCAAACAGAACCACTGAAATTGCTCAAAAATATTTCAGAACTAGTACCATGCACAGATCATTTTTGGGGAAAAATTGAATTTACTTTCAACTTTTTATTTCCAAACAGAGTAGAAAAGATTATTTATTTTGACAATAAAGAAGGAATTGCTTTTAAAATAAGTAAACTGCTTATTTCCAACTTTGACAGAATAAAAAATTATTTATTTTAGAACTTATTTACTTTCAAATAAATTCTTTAAGCTTAGGCAAACATGCAGATAATGTAAAATTACCTTAACTCTTGCACGAAGAATGTCTTTGAGTAGAGTTAAGACAGGTCTGGCGGCCACAGTAGCAACTAGCTGGTTGTGATGGATCTGCAATAACACTGTGGCAACCCGGCAGACAAGCTCAACCTGCCAGAACAGTGAAAAACATTTGTAAGCAAAAACAAGGCTATGAGTGAAATGTCAGTCATGCTATTTTAAAGCGAACATCATCTTTATGATAACATAAAACACAAGCATAATCATATCAAAATTTCAACTTTCAGGGCAGTCAATGACATATTGAGAATATTAATAACTTCGACATGGACAGGGAACTGAGACCTACCAGCTAAACCTAAAATATCACAAGGACAAAATCGATGCAGTCGCTATACATTTAAAATGCATGTAATGAACAATGTGTTCCTGTAGATTATATTTTAAGTTGTCAACATATTTCCAATTCAACATGATCATTTTAACCGTACATATGTTTTGTGACAATATCTATGGTTCCTAGATTTTAGAATTTGATCAAAGTCTCATGTTTTGGGATGTTGAAGCTCAGATCGTCCCCCATCTCAAAAAACCAAAAAACGCATTGGAATGACATAATCAACTGGACACAGGAAAGAAACAGCTGGAAATTAAATGTAACAATGGAAGAACAACAAAATCATGGGTTTGCCATTGTGAAGAGAACTTACGTTGCACGACATACATACATTTGAACTAGTTAAAACCATGGTGCCATATAATTTACCACTTTGACTGATAAAGAAAACTATAGGACAGGCAAATCTTCATTAAATTTCAGTTTGTGCAATAAAATTTAAGCTGTGTTAAACTCTCATGTGATGCAAAATGATTTTTCTCCATGTCATTAAAGCAGTACTGACCTTATTGGGTAAAGAAGCCCAATCTTTCAAATAAGAAAAGATCTTTAAAGCATCTGAGAATGGTAGAGCCTGCAAGAAAGTC